CAGGCAACTCAATCAAATGTGATTTTTCTTCTCTGGATTGTTTTACTATATCTTTATTATATTTTCATCTGTTGCCTTGTGTGAATTATTATTATTATCCATCCATCCATTATCTATATCCCTTATTCCTGAATAGGGTTGCCAGTCTATCACAGGGCTATTATTATTATTATTATTTTAGGTTAAAAAATGTCTTGATCCCTGGCCACTTCCTGTTTCGAGCTTTTATTTTGTCTCTGCCCTCTCATGCACCAAAGCCACAGCCCTTCTCTGCACCATAGCCTCAGCTGCCCAGCCACCCAGAGTTTCCATTGCCCAGCACCCTGACCAGGGACCAGCCTGTTGCTGAGTCAGCTCAAGAGTCAGCCGTCCCCGCTGACGTCATGCCTGTCCATGAGTCGGTTGAAGCCATCACTGTTGCATCAGTTCTGGTCTGTGGGTCAGCCACAATGTCTCATCAGGTCATCTGAAATCATTGATACCAAGTCTGTTCCTGTCAGTGGGTTGGATGAAGCTGCTGATGCCACATCTGTTGTTCAATGTGCCGCCCAGCCTGCTCAAGAGTCAGCCTCACCAGCTGACATCCTGCCTGGTCACCACTCTGCTGGCCTCATCAACCTACCCTGTATTTTATCCCAAGCCCCTGCTTCCTGCTCAACTCTGTCTTTGACACTGGCCTCCATACTGCTGTCCTCCAGAGGGCTGCTGTTCTCATCACTGGGCTCCATTTTGCTGTCCTCTAGAGGGTTCCCGTCCAAAGTATTGCCCTTCACATCTCCACCATCCGAACTGGTCTCAGCTGCATGCCTGGGCCTGTGGCCACCATCCTGTTAGCCCTCGGCTTCCAGATCGGCCTCAACGTAGCCACCCTCCATGTCTGGTCACATCAGCTCCCATGGCCATGGCTTTTGTTTGCTCAAAGTCTATAATTTACCAAGTCTACATTCATAACTTACTACTCTCCGCCTATTTACAGAAGTTATATTTTCCACCTATCACTTAAGCAGAAGTGTGTTCTCCTGTTCACCTTCTGTGATTTTGTTCAGACACTGTTTTGAGACTCGTATTCAGGAGAGCTTTGTTTAGTTTTCTGTTGTTCATAAGGATATTGGATTAGTCATATTTATGAAACCAAGTTGTAGTTGTTCTACCTCAGCATTTGCCATAGTGTTCTCCTGTTTATTCAAGTGTCACAAATGCCTATTAAAGTTCTGTTATCTTTAACCATGTCTCCCTGGCTGCGGTCTTGCATTAGGGTCTAAAAGAATATGCTGTTCAGTTGTTGACTTGAAAGGAAAACATTGACATAATGTACAGTGTAAAGAGACAAGGACAAGCTGGTCCCTGTGAACTGAAGCTTCTTGTCATAAACACAGTTTCCCATTGCGAGAGATGTCCCTCCTAACATAGACACTTCATGTTTCTTTTCTTTTTTTATTTTCAAAATTTATTCCTCTTGATTGATTTTCCCTCTCAGGCTTTCGGTGATTTTTCTCAGGACACAGTGGCTGATGGGTAACCTGGCCTGGCTAACAAGTCAAAGAAATTTTTTAATTAGTGTGATCATTTTCCTAAATTGAAGACTCAGTGGGTTTCTACCCAGCTGTGACTTCACCAGGCATTTCCACCTTGCCTTGTCCCTCTTATTAGCAGATTGTAATAGCAGAATAATCAGACAGAGAACTGGTCCAAGCCTGACATGCCTGAACACACATGCACGCACACTGTAGACACATTTTTGTACACTCAAGGTTCTACGTGCAGAAATGCACTCTCATTCACAGGGACAATAAGACCATCACTTCACTGCCTCTTCCCATCTCATTTCTCTCTCTCTCTCTCTCTTCCTCTCTCACTCTCTCTCTCACACACACAGACAAGGCCTGGCCTGGTCCCAGGAGTCCTTTCATGACCAGTGATTGTCATTCGCAGCTGGCTGTGTGACCTTGATAGGGACAACAGAACCACCACAGAGGGATGCTACTGCATACTCTCTCTCGCTCTCTTTCTCTCATATGCACACACATGCACAGAGACACATACATACACAATCAGTGACACAAACTGACTAAAGCTGAAACCCCTCCCTGACTCTCCCTCAAAAGGACATGAGAAGCATATGTGTCTATTTCTCTGGGATGTGTATGTTTGTTTATAGAATGTACATGGTAATGATTCAGTGTGATGATGTTTTTTCTTTGGACCAACTCCATAATTTCTTTGCCATTGTTTGCCTCGCACAGCAGATTTTTATCTTGATTTTGACACACACACACACACAAAGAATTTCACTTCAGTGAATTTTTGCACAACAGTTTTTCCATAGGTTTTTTTGAGGTGTCTGTGTGTGTGGGCATATTAACACACCTGTGATGCTTTTTCATTTGTTGCCCTCGTGACACCTGACAGAAACACAGACAGCAGGATGTGTTATCAAGGTTTTAAAATGCATTACTACACATGCTGGTGTAGATCCATTGTTTTGGTGTTCGTTCTCTCAGTGTGCTCAGGGGTGTTTGGTGCTGCACAACAGCACCACACCTCCTGTCATCTTCCTGCAGTTTCAAAAACCCCACAGTCTTTCATGTCCGCTCAGCTGGTAATGAGAGCTCATAGAAGGAGGTGAGATTCTGTGCGTGTGTGTGTGTGTGGGGGGGGGGGGGGCGGGGTGTGTGTTTAAAAGTGTGGGTGTGTGGGGGGGTGTTGGGGGTGGGGGGGGGGGGGGGTCGCTGGGTTTATGTTTCTTTGCCAGCGCTTGAGCAGGGCGAAGGGTGTGTGTGTGTGTGCACAGTGCAGATTATCACACTTCTGTCCCACAGAGACATCTCCTAATCACAGCAATCTTTTCCTGACACTTCAGTTACTCTTCAGCAGAAGTTATTGTCTTTATCCATGCTCGCTCCCTCTCTCACCCACTCTGCATCCTCCTCTCTCGCTTTCTCTCTCATTCTGCATCATCGCACGCCCCTCACCGTCCTCCCTGTGCGTCCTCCGCTCCCCCTGTGTCTATCCAAGTTTGACGCCGAGCCATCTGGAACCCAACTAATGTTGCACCTCATCCCTTTTTTGGTTTTCTTCATCTGACCCAGTTTGTCACTCTCAGCAGGTGCCGTCTGCCTCCATGATTACCACTCAGAAATATCTCTGTCCTGAATGACAGCTGTGTGAGCATGTTTGTGTATGTGTGCGTAGGTGAGCTTTGTATATCAGTGTTTCTATTCTCACAATCATGAAAAGAAGAGGAAAATGCGTGCTGATAAACTTAGCTGTATGATCAGGAGTTTCTAACAATTCGTAGTAGGAAATGTTACTGGTGACAAATACTGCCTCTTAGTTTACAAAGAAATGAATAAAGCTAAGGAAGAAGAAGAGGAGACAAGAGCAGGACAGGAAGGAGGAAATATTTTCAGTATTGTCCTTGAACAGCTGCCTTGCTGTGTTTTTATACTTTTGACATTTCTTGTGCTTATCGTTTGGTATGACAAACAAAATGAACAGAAGTGAGAGCAAGAGGATACAATACAGAGAAGTGGGAAATGATGAATGGAAAATGAGATATCAATGTTTAGCAGAAGAGCAGTGGTGGATATATTAGAGAGTGTAACAAGTGGGGGAGCAAGATGCCCAAGAGCGAGAAGGAATAGAGGGAAAAGATGAAGTGAGACATGGAGATAAATGGCAGGCAGCTTTGGAGAGGCTGTAAGGGCTTGAGCTTCATCTGGCATAGGCTTGTAACACTGCTGTCTCATCTCCCATGCTCTTTCAAGTGGGGAGTAGAAAGGCCTGTATTTTATTTTAGCTGCCGTCCCATTGAAGCACGCTCGCATTAAAGGTGACCTCATGGCACCCCTCTGATCATGAGGCTTAGTGCAGGGGGATCGTTTAGATCTATTACATACAGTTACAGAAGTGAGGCCCAGAAGGGTGTTGACAGCAACCCTGTGTGTGTTTATGTGGATGTAGAATACACAGGCAGTTTAGACAGTCTGCAAGTTATTTAGACAGTGACACAGTGTGGTACCGTTGGCTCTACATTCCATCACACTGGATCTAAACTGAAAACATGATTAAGGTTAAAGTGCTGACTATACACTTTTATTCAGGAGGGTTCACATCCAGATGATAAACAGTGTAGGAACACCAAAGTCTTTGAAGGTGAAAGTCAGTACTTTAAGCTAGTGACTGCACTGTGCATGATGCTTTAGGGTAAATCATCATCATTTGTTTTCTTGCTGAGTGAGAGGAGAAGATTAATACCACTTTCATTTCCCACAGCAAATATGTAGCTGGAGCCTGCAGCCATTAGGTTAGCTTGGCGTAAATAGTGAGAAGAGGAGGAATCAGCAATCATGACTCTGTCCAAACAAAGGTAGCAAAGTAGTTAACCCCCATAAAGCTGCAGATTTTCCATTTTATACTAAAGCTTTTGTACAAATTAAACAAACAAATGTGGCATATTAATTAGTAAGTTTAAGAAGAAATGGTCAGTGGGTTTAGTTATCCTTGGGGACAGCATGAGCTGTTTCCCCCTGTCTCCAGTCTTTATGCTCATTTAATCCAACAGGCAATATTGATCTTCTCATCTGTCAACAAGGAAGAAAATTATCTTATTTCACAAAATGAACTATTCCTTTAAAGAATGAACATTATATCCTCCTGAACAATGACTTAGCAGCAAATCAATGAGTGTTTAGGTGGACTTGTAAATATGAAGTCTATTACTGTCCATTATGTTAGAAAGTATAAAACTTTGTTAAAACTACAAATAAAGTTTGGCATTTTTAGATGATTTCATTTTTTCTTTCAGTATCATCTTCCCAGATCTCAAGATCTGTAATAAAAACTTTACAAGGCTTATGCTGCTGTTTTTGCTGTGCTGTGTGAATCTAACATGCTTTGCTTTCTGTTTCTTTCTTTTCCTTTTTTTTTTGTTTGTTTTTATTTTTTAACGTGCTCCTTCCTGTTACTGGGGTACCCGTGGATGCTGCTGGCTGCGGCAGTCTCATGTGAGTACATCTAACCAAAAAGTCCCTGAGTCTGATCATTCCTGTATGAGAGAAGAGGATTGATTGAAATATCAGTGTTTGGCTCCAAATGTTCTAATTGAAAAAAAGAACCTACATAATATTCAACCTTAATTATTAAGAAAAGGGTTAACTGCTCTACTTGCCTAATCTAAAAATAATCTTCTTATGTAGTAACCAGTGGTTACAGCAGGCCTCCAGTGCTCAGGGAGGTAACGCCAACTTTCTTTATTTTATATGAGTTGAATTTACTAACTGATGAAATCAAATCAAAGTCTTATCTGATAGAAATTCTTAGCTAGGAGCTATCCAAGATTTGCAAGACACAGTAAACTTCTTTTGCTCAAATATATAATAACAAATTCTAAAAAAAAAAAGTGTTTTTCAGTATGGAGCAGTTCAATAAATAAATAATAGACGCAGAAACTGAAAAATTCATTGCTTCAAAAAACAGAATGGCTCAGAATTTAATGGGACACATTACAAATTTTTCAGTCATTGATGCCTGTGTGTGTGTGTCTGCAGGTGATTTCAGCACAGAAGTCGGGGAACCACATCTTCCGACTGAAAGGCCCCGGTGCTGACCAGGATCCCAAAGGTCTCTTCATCATTGACATAGACACAGGAGAGGTGTCAGTCAGTCGCTCACTGGACCGGGAGGCCATCGCCTCCTATGAGGTCAGTGTATTTGAGTGCCTTTGTTAGATCAGGACGATTACTGTGTTTGTGTGTATGCTGGTTCTCACCTTTCTGTCCACCTCTTCCAGTCTCTGATTCCTTGACACATTTATTGTTTTCTTCGTCAGGCTCAGCTTTATTGCATTTTCTACTTTTGTTCACCTGTTATTTCTTTTTCAACTCAGTCACATTATTCATTAGTTCAAACAAAATATCACTAGTTTCTTTCAAATTTAACATATATTCAATATATTGGTATATGGGACTAAAACTTGTGGTTGGTTTTGAAATTCACTCTGATTTTGCAGCTTGCTATTTGTACATATTGGCAGTGTTGTTTGTGAAAGGGTGAACTTTGTATTTTGTCAAGGCTGAATAGATGCTATCAGCTAAAAGTTGGTGGTTTCTTCTATGATAAAATAACATTAGAGGCTTTTTGAGGTGCCTGCTGGGGTCGGTGCCCTCGGGGTTGTCTGCCTGATGAAAGCATTTCCTTTAGAACAGAAAGGAAGAAAGGGGCAGAAAAAAATCTACTTTTTAAGCCAGACAGTTGATCTTATCCTGTTTTTTGAAACCAGGCATGAGTGAGGGTGTTCATCTGGGTGCAAGTTGTTGATCAGCTAACTGGTTTTTGTAAAATAGCAAAAAGCAAAATAATTTGCTTTATAAATAAAAACACATGTGAGAGGAAAGCAGGCAGGAGAGAAACCTAGAGGAAAGCTGAGAGGAAACACACAAACATACTTACTAAATTTCTTTTGTCTTTTCCTGATCTGGTATTAGTGCTTACTATTACATGCATCATGTAACCACGGCATTTGCTTTCGGTTGTTACAGTCTGATTCACAATGTTTACTGGCACCTTTGAGACTCAGTAATAGAGCGACCTGTATCCGATGAATGACTGGTTAAGGGATTTATTGGTCTGCTAGAAAAGCGTATGTGTAACAAGACATCAGCTGCAGCCCTGCTTTATAACTGAACAGCATTGTACTCTAAATATACAAAGCAGTGATGATCCAGTAAAAGGTGCATTAGTTGACACTACATTGTGCCCATAACACTGTGAAGACTTGGTTTTACGCAGGTATTAGAAAGCAAAGTTTTAAGGAGTAACATGTTTACATGCTACATTAACTCAACAGTGTGACGGTGAGTCAAGAGCATGAGCTCTGCTAGTTAAATCTGAGTTTTGGCATGTTTATGTGTGTGTGTTTTTGTGCAGACCAGATTACCAATATGAATGTAGCCAATGAGATGTAAGAATGACTACTCATAAACTAGCTTATTTACCGTGTAGCATTCCCTCCACTATGTATCATGTGGGTCTGGATGTTTTGGGAAACATTAGAATCCCAGTCTTGCTTTTTATTAGTATTTAGTCCTACCTCTGCCAGTGTTGTTACAGCACGTTATGATGCAAAACACAGCACATGGTCCTAAAAGCCTTCTGTCTTTTAACACAGTAGTGGTGTCAATTACTGTATGTCTAAACGCCCACTTTAGTGTTCAGTTTGAGCACAAACAGGACAGACATTCATTTATCTGCAGTGTTTGTATCATCTGCTAAGAGCTGCTAGCAAATGAAATAATTTTCTTAAGTTTTTCTACTCAGTTTTGGTCCAGCGGCTAGAACATTTTTACTGTGTCAGTATTACTGGGAAAAAAACACTCCTCGGTGTAATTTGCTTGTGTTACTGCAGATACATCCTCTACAGACATCGTTAGATACACGTACAGATCGCCAAAATGTAAATCTCTTTATTTGGCATTGTGCTGCTGCAATGCCTTCGAAAACCACACACTCTACAATACAGGCTCTATATTCTGTGTACATCAGTTCTGGAACCAGTTATTACTTCTGCACCACCTGACTGCCACAAGTGTCTCTGGCTATTGTGACCACATATGACATAGCTTCACAGACAGGGCAGGAAGGGCAAAGAGGAGCAGAGGGAAAGCAGAGTGAGGGGATACTGCCCGAGTTTGTTTTCACTCTCACTTTGCCCTTAACAGTTGAAAATTTGAGGGAGAAGTTAATGAATGCAGCTTTAAAAATGTGACAGTTGTAAGTCAACTGGAAAAATTTTATGTTTCTAAGAACTTTGGTTTTTTTATTTTGCCACAGTTATTGTAAACAGTATGTGTGCTGTGAAAGATACGTTGTATAGCAACAGTATAAGTGAAAACTGTTGCCCTCCTTACCAGTGTTGACATGGTTATAGGCAGTGTCATGTCTTGTTAATCCATTGAGGGGAATGCTTAGAAAAAATAATATGTTCTTAAAAGAGATCTTTCCAAATTCATTTATTTCAACTAAGCTGTAAATCAGTTGCCTGTTTCATGCACAGTACTTTCTCTGTATTAATATGAGACTAAAGGCAGATACTTTTTTCATTCTGTCAGCATTGCTACTATAATTTACAGAACAAGATTATAGACACACACATAGAAATAGCTACACAAGCATTTGCACACATACACAACACAGACATTTTCAAAGCAACCACACGTACAGTACAGTATCTAATAGTTGTTGGCTATATCCTCAAATTGTTATGACAGCTCAGTGAAATAATGTTTTGGAGTTCTCAGAGACTCCAAGACTAGACTGGGGAAGACTAGAGAGTGGGCAAAGACAGGGCACACATTTAAAGTAAAAAAAAACATATATATAGATAGATAGATAGATAGATATTGTGTCAGATAATATTGTATCTCCATAAGTCTGTATGAGCAGGGTTTTTTTTACTTTAAATGTCTCCATACTGGCCCTGCGATGGACTGGCGTCCTGCCCCATGCTTTGGGGCAGTCTTGTTTTCCTTCCTTCAAGCTCAGGTCCTCTATCAGAGGCCTGGGAGCTTACAGGTCCTGTGCAGTATCTGAGCTGTTCCTAGGATAAGGATAATCACTTTTATTGGCCAAGTATGTTATACACAAGGAATTTGTTTCCGGTACAGAACCGACAGCAGCCATCTGCGGTGCCAACTCAACCAATGGGGGCAGGTTCAGCATCTTGCCCAAGCACACTTTGACATGTGGATTGCAGGCACTGAGATTTGAACCTTCAACCTTTAGGTTGGGAGATGACCACTCTACCCATCGCTTCCCCCACTGCACTCTTCTGGACAGAGATCTCAGATGTTGTCCTTGGGATCTGTTGGAGCCACTTTCCCAGTTTGGGGGTCACAGCCCCCAGTGTTCCTGTTACCACAGGGACCACTTGTGCCTTCACCTTCCACATCTTTTCTAGCTCTTCTTTCAGCCCTTGGTATTTCTCGAGCTTCTTGTGTTCCTTCTAGGGTCCTGCGCACAGTTTGTCAGTTTGTATCTTGAAGTCCCACAGGATCTTAGCTTGGTCATTCTCAACCACCTTTGGAGGTGTATCCCATTTTGACTTTGGGACTTCCAGCCTGTACTCAGCACAGATGTTTCTGTACACTATGCCAGCCAGTTGGTTATGGCGTTCCATGTATGCCCTGCCTGCTAGCATCTTGCACCCCACTGTTATGTGCTGGATTGTCTCGGGCATCTTTGCACAGCCTGCACCTGGGGTCCTGTCTGGTATGGTAGACCCCAGCCTCTAATGATCTTGTACTTAGAGCTTGTTCTTGTGCTGCCATGATTAGTGCCTCTGTGCTGTCTTTCAGTCCAGCTTTGTCCAGCCACTGGTAGGATTTTTCGATATATATAGACATATGGGTAGCAAGTCTATAAAACCAGTGTGATTTATTAGAGCTGCTAGCTACAAGTTTTTTATTATCGAGAATATTACCTGTCCAAAAGACGCTGATTCCTCCTTGATTCCCTTATCTTCTTTACTTGTTTCCACAGTGCCGAGGCTTCCGAAACAATATTCACCCTGATATTTGAATGGTTTGTCTGAATCCCTTTTGGCTTCTTTGTTGCTTCAGATAACTTGTTCTTCTGTTTTCTTTACATGGGAGAAAATGTTGAAGCGTGCTAGTCGTTTGAATTAGCACCATTTCAAAAAAGGCTATCCAGTGCTTATATTTTGTTTTTGATTTCCAAGGTGACACTACAAGAGACTGTGCAAAACATATCACTTGTCATGTGATGGCTTGAACAAACAGAGAAACAGATTTTATTGAAACTGTTGTTCAGGAGCAACATTCCACCATGCAGATGTTTTAAAATAACACTCAGGTAACTAAAATATGCCATAGATTTCAGTTTTAACCACACCATATGACTTTAACTTAGTTTTGTGTCTGATTTCCAGACCTAGTTTGAAATTAGTGCAAAATTGCTTTCCAAAAACCATCTCTGAGTGATTGTGCCTTTATAGTCTAACCATAAAAACAGTGAGATTTAACTGAACGTTTCAGTCGATGGCTACATTCTATCACAGTGAAAACCAAAACCGGTCTAATGTTCCATTGTTTCAGTGGTCTGGGGAGAATTAACTTCTAACATCAATTATACCATTCATTTGCCTGAGCTATTACTAATAATCATCAGTTAATCTCTGAGGGCAGGCTGGCACGTGTCCTTATACACTACTGCATATCGTACATGTGCATGTGCACTTGCACACACTTTGTATTGCAGGCTTCACATTCTCTTGGTGCTTGTCTCTCTCCTCCTTGTGCCTTTCCCAGCCAGTGTGATATCTTGCTCTCTCTCCTCTTATCACGAGGAGATAGCAAGTCTGTGTTCCAGTCATAACTCAGAACAAGGGTCTCCAATCAAATACAACTTTGCCTTTTTATCAGTAGCCCAACACTGTGTGCAGAATGAAAACTGTATCATGTAGATGGTGCCCAGTGGTACTGGTGAGCTGTCCCATTCACATCCATTAAGGGTGTCTCTCTTCACACTGTAGCTAATGGCTTGTGCGAGGACGAAACATGAAATATTCAAAGGTAGATTAAAATCCACATTACTCTAAAGGCATTTTATAAGTAAGAGAAAGCTGCTGGTCTTTCACTATTGCATGGCAAAGCATTTTTATATACTGTAGGTGTTCTATGTTAGA